TGCTTAATCTTCCTACATGCCGAAGATATTGTACCTCGAACAGGTAGGCTTTTCGATAGTCCCGTGTGTTGGAGCCTCCTTTGTTTCGGATAAATCTCAATCGGTAAGGTAGAGGTCTCATGCTTCAGTACCTTGCTGTTAGTCGAGTTGTAGGCTCCCTTAACGATCTTTAGGCATCTTCTTTAGATACTTCGGAGTGGCTTGATTACTCTTTGGGGTATTTTTCCTGCCATTTCGGACTCGGCACATTTTGTATCATTTTGTATCCAGTTATCTAGCTTTAACAAAAGCAGCTGACACTGTAAACAAAAATCAATGCCACGGGACCAAGTACCATATTAGGTTAGTGTGAAGTGTTTGGGTATTTGGTGGTTCTCGTGTAAATATACCACTTTTTCTCTCCCATCGCACAACACAGTCATATTCTCGTTACCTATCCTGATTTCTTATCCTTGTGAATTATTCCTGTTACGTATCCAGCAAACCAGATCCACCGTTGTGACAGTCAACGCTGGGAGGTGCCGTGGTCCGCCTCCTGGTGGTCTTGTCTGGTATGGTTTGAGTAGCCTGGGCACCTACTCCACTTGGGAAAGAGACACTCAGATCACATATCGCGCGGAGAAAAGTTGAAAGATGATGGAGGCATGTCTGGATAACTCGGGGTTTTTGAGACGTTCCCCTGGGTGGGTTTTCACGGATAAGGGTTGACTTGAGGTGAAGAAAAAGCCACCATAACTTCGCAGTAGTACTTGCAAATGAAATCTGAGGCATGAGTGCTCTTCCTTTACGTTGAATCATCTATTCTGTACTTTTCTTTGATATTGTGTCATAGCTAGATAGCTGCATACGCAATTAAAATCTATTGCGAAAAAAAAACTAGTCTTAGCGAATAGCACATGTGTTGGTGGGTCAAGTGATGGGTTGGTTGCCACATAGGTTTTTTTTTTAATTCTCCACTTAGGTTGAGTTCGGGGTTTTTCCCATGTAACGTTGATTTGTCGTATGAGTTGGGAGGAAGCTCCAGTTCACTTTTAAATAAAGTATAACTAGTCGCTTTACTGCTGATGATATTGGGCATACGACGTTCTCGTATCATAATTGTTGGGGATTAATATATACATTATTATTACGGGGTAAATAATATATGGGTTACATATTTACCTGACTGTCAGTGGTCACCAGTTGGGCAGGAAGTCTGCATGACATGTTGTGTTATGGAAGACCAAGGTCACGTGATGGTGGCCATCGGATAATAAACAGGAGACGGGAAGACAGATCACTCGCTCCGTCCAGGACACGAGTACAGACATTAGTATTGGCTCTACAGAGCTGGATCACTCGTGGACTATGAATGGTGTATATATGACTGGATATGTGTATTGTAATTTTATTATGTCTTTATTAGTATAACAATTGTTATTTTATTCCAACAATAATTAGCTGTTGGAGAGGAGGGCAAGACTGAACACCTGTACGCGGTGTCCTCTACGAACCTGGGAGTGAAATATTCTCCCAGAGCCAAGTTCAGTCAAATTTCGCAATATCAAAGAAGTTGGCCCACGAGGCAAAAATCCATATTACTCCTCCACGTCGTTATTTCGCTCCCAACGAGTTTGACTCCTATCTTTGTCTCATCGAGTCTACAAGTACGACCAAGTACATACTCATTCCAATGACCACACCACTCTTCGACCTTCTCTGGCCTCAGCTGGTCACCAAATACACGCCCACGCCGATATTTATACCCGACGGAGGAAGCAAAGCGTGGCGCACAAATCTGGGAGACAGTTCTTTGGGATGGACGTGAGAGGGATCAGGACAAGTTCACAAGATGATGCAGAAGAGGGATACGTTTTCGACGGGCGTGAAATTTTGAATTTTGGCAAGAATCTTACGAATTGAGCTTTGTGCGCGCCAAGACTTCGCTTGCGAGAGTGCAGCTGACACTATAAAAACAAGCGGACGATGGAAGGTGTTGTGATCCGCCTCCTGGTGATGTTCTCTGGTATGGTTTGAGTAGCCTGGGCACCTACTCCACTTGGGAAAGAGACACTCAGATCATATTTCGCGCGGAGAAAAGTTGATGGATGACGGAGGCATTTCTGGATAACTCAGGGTTTTTGAGACGTTCCCCTGGGTGGGTATTCACGGATGAGGGTTGACTTGGGGTGAAGAAAAAGCCGCCATAACTTCGCAGTGGTACTTGCAAATGAAATCTGAGGCATGAGTGCTCTTCCTTTACGTTGAATCATCTATTCTGTACTTTTCTTTGATATTGTGTCATAGCTAGATAGCAGCATACGCAATTAAAATCTGATGCAAAAAAAAAAAAAATAGCTGTTGGAGACTGTCAATAAGTCGAGAGTTCAATAAGTCAAAAGGTCAAGATGTAAACAAATTCATTATTATCGAAAGGTTCGTAAGAATACAAGACCATAATCTGCCGAACTAGAATCATCCCAATTACCCATTATATGTTCCTCACTATTGTTCTCCAATTTCCTAGTATACTCTCGTACATAATAGAATGGAGTAGAACAGAAGAGTATAGACAAGTACAGATTGTAGCAGAACGAAATATAATTGAATGGAACGGAGTATAGTAAGATAAAACAGAACACATTAGGATAGAATGTAGCGGAATAGCACACATATCTTCGTCCATAATTCCTATTTAATCAGAATAGGCCCTTGGTCCGCGACAGAGACTACCTACTTATTCGAGCTGCCTGTATATCATAACTCCTACTCGGTGACATTCTCTATCTGAGACGTCTCCCTTACATTATCTCATCTCCAAACACAACATGACATCGTATTGCTACTTGCTGCCGCCAAAGAAATTGGAACATTTATTTGTCTAGTTATTTTCAAGGTCTACCGGGCTACAGTTGTGGCTGCAGTCCCATCCCTGAGGGGACACCGTGACTGATGTAATCTACAATACATATAATTTAAGGAAAGCTAGATGGCCTGAAGTAAAATTATCAAGATAATGTGAACTCTGTGCAGCGAACCCCTCACATGTAAGTTAGTCAAACAGCGCGGGTTGGGCAGATTCCTGAAAAGAATCCGGTCTTCTCCAATATATAAGAAAATCGTTAAGCAGCACGGGAAGCGCCGAGAAAAGATAAGAGGTTACCCAAGCTACTGTGGTGACCGATAGAGGCCAGTCTTTGTCGAATAAAGGGGCAGGAAAATAAATGGGTTACAGACTTGAGACCCCACAGGAACAAGACACAGATATTAAACAGTTGAGGCTATCAAGAAGGCCAAGTTTTTGAAACACAGGTGACAAGAACTTAATTATCTGGGTTCATTTTGATAGTTACTTGAACGAATGCGCTCTTCGTCCTCATGGCTGAGGAGTCATTATTTCCTTGAAAAATCTTATCTCGAGTGCTTTACTCTCGATTATATTTTAATTCACTTATTGCCTGTCGATAATATATACCTGTTCGCGTACGCAATGGGTCTCTCGATGGTGTGATGATTCTTCTTGTTTTTCTTATATACAGGCGTGTCAGCCGTAAGGGCCACACGCTGAGCCATGCCAGTCCACGTGACTAACTAGCTATCAACAGATTGTGATCTTTCTCCTGGCTCATGCTCATCCCAAAATAGAATTGCGTCACTTATAATCATTGATGAATATAAGCACAGAAGAAATGTGCCCCACTTCACAGTACGTCAATGATAGGCACGAAGACTTCGATCCCCCAGAGTTGAACTTGAACCACCCCGGCCGATCGCACCAATACCGTGTAGCCAGGGAATTTAACTATGGCTGCTGATGTTGATTACCTAACAATCTTAAAACGTGGTGCTATGTAGCGTAAGTATTGACTCATGGCTAGGTTCTAATTACATCTCTGCTGTCGTTCTAACGAGCCAAAAAAGGTTTTCCTTAAAACTCTGTTGACTAAATCAGGACTTAGAAACTTGTGTGGCGTACTCGGCGAGCTGAGGTTGGGAGTGCTTAATTTCCTTGCGGGCGTTTCAACCAATTGTATATCATGAGAGACTTAAACTGTAGATTTCATCCCATATACCATCAAAAACTGTAGCTCACAAATTACGTTCAATCCCCATAAGTTACCATCCAATAGTGGGATGCCTTAGCTCTCTTTCGACTATGCAACACACTGCCCGTGTATGATCTGATAGGAGCTAACTGAAATAAAGCATGCAGTATTGTGCCCTGAGCGAGAGAAGTGCCCAAAATACTTTTATTTTCTCCCGAAATCATCTTCATGGATTCTAATTGTACCGCAATTGTAGGGAAAAACATTGTGATGCAAAGACCAATTATTAGGGCGTGTTGAGAAGATATCAAAAGATACGTAGTATCTATAGTTTCGTTATAGACTGGTGGTATGTTATCTGCAACACTAGATGCTATCTTGGAATTAGGTCGTTTCTTGTGAGTCTTTTTGATTGAGTTTCAACCGAATAATTTTAGCTCGAATTAAATGACCTGGTCGTCATCATGATGTATAGGATTCAGGGATGTAGACATTGCACTACCAAACCGATTTTATTTCTTATGCTTCGACCTAAACGGATCTACAAGTGACAGCTTATCCCATTTTTTTTCACGATTCGGTCGCATAGATGATACCCTGTAATTCAGTAGGTTTTGCTGTCACCCGGGCGATAGAACTATCCCCTGTCAACCATTAAACACAAGAGCAACTTCATTGTTGATGGGTCAACCGTACCTTAGCGTAAGCTGAGTTTCATGAGCATTCCGTCCACAGTCCTTTTGTCGCACATTTTTGCTGCTACATATATCCATTAAAATCACAGATATCGCGATCTTCACCCCTACACACGGATTGAAGCACTTTATCATCAATTTAACACACTGTTCAGCAGTGACTTATTATTCCGTCTCAAGAGGCTCAGATTCTGCTGCCTTCAAAACACAAAGTAAACCCCCAAAACTCTTGCTACGTCAAACCCTTTCGCTCGAGTGAATTTAGTATATCTGGCGCAAAATGACATCTCCCTCAATCGTCACCACTCCTCTCCATCCTAAGATTCACACACCTGAGACCCCACAGTTTGGCTTTCATGATAATTATCAACCTTATTCCCCAAGTCTCTCGAAACATACTTCACGTCGTTTTCACCCTCACAATGAGACTACAGACAAGAAAATAACGCCAACCTCCTCAAATCATTCGATCCGCAGTTCAAACAGAGAATCTAAATCAATATATTCAATTAATGGCAGTAATTCTACGCAATCCTTTCAAATCACAAGGAATAAGTCTAAATTTGGGGAACAACAGGCAGATTTACACATGAAAAAGACACCAAATGATTCAACTTCTAAAATGCTAGAAAAAGAAGATAAAGATATCAGCCTTTCGCCGCTTACTTCAAAAACCAACCGAACGTCTCCTGCTTCATGTTGTCTCAGCATGGGAATGCTCATGACACCCACAAAAACTCCAATGAAGAGGAGAAGAAAGAATCTAACCTCTGTATCCTCAGTCGCACGAAAACTTTTTTCTAATGAGCTAAACAGCCAAGAAACATTTTGCTTGTCATCAACCGAGAAAACCTGTGAGACAACCTCACGAGAGGTATCAGTGACCCCGGACGCTGAAGAGGAGGCCGAATACATTTCCATATTCACAGATTCTCGCGACCGCATACCAGAAGTTGATCTTAGCCCCAATAATCCGTTCTTCCTTGACAAAAATTCTATGTATCCCAGTACATGTAAATCTCCTTCTAAGCCGGTAAACATAGCAGTTAAAGGCGAGGGCTTCCGAACATCACATGAGCTGGTCAGTCGCGAAGATGGCCTATTGTACAACTTGTAAGTGCTGGCAAAAAGACAACTTTGACACTCCACTAATTTAACAAGCCGGGGCAAAATAATATTTCGTAAATTTGATAATAATACTGAGTTCAACGAATTTTCAAAGGATGATTTACCGGGTGATGACGTCATCCCCTTGCCCCGCAATATCTGGCAACCGACAAGCCGGACTTCACTTAAGCCAAGGCTCTTATTTCCTACGATCCCCAAATCTACAGACCGACAAACAGAGGAATACATTTTAAAGGACTTGGGAGTCGGGAGCACCGTCGAAGATTCGCCCCTCCCAAAAGAAAATCCCACGAAAAAAGACGAAAAGTCATTAATTTCATTAACCCCGAAATTCAAGCCTATTTCACCTCCAAACTCTTTCAGGGCATCTCCTATAATACCAAAGATACATGAGCCAAATGACCGGCCAATTCGAACACTTCGCATCACTAAACAGGAGCTCGGAGATCCAATCACTTTGGGTTTACGCAACACCAAGAAAGCCAGACCGTTCGCATCATGGCAATGCACTAAACCTTTGTCTGAGAAAACAAGAAAAAGAGGAGGAGAGCCACTTGATCGTGACAGCCCAGACAAGAAAATAAAGCTGTGATACTCAAGATGTTTCTATCTTCCACATTTTAATTTGGTCATTAATCACGAGATAACGACATTTGTGCTATATGAAAAAGACCACGTCTGTACAAGGCTCGCGTCAAAGTACGCAAGCTGATGAAAATCCTCTATAGCTCGTTAAAACGACATTTATTTACAGCGACTTATAACTAAAAAAAACTCGTGAAAAACGTACGTGCAAATAAGAACATGATGACTATTTCTGTGCAGAACTTATGACCACTCCTAATTCGTATCCCAAATACTCCACCTTGAAAAGTAGTATGTGTAATCGAGGCTACAAGTAATGCAACACTAAGCTAAAATGAACAAAAAAAGTACAGTTGATTTATCGCGTGAATTGAACTTTCTCTAAAACAAACATCAAAATTAGCAACTTCATTTAGATATGGACAGTCCATGTGAAAGATCTATTCACCTTGAAAAATATTAAAGCCACTTCTAAGCACGTTATCCATCCTAATGGCACTAGACAAAACACCGACCAAGCATTTATGTGCTCTTCAAATAATGGGACGTCTCACGTCGGTCTAGTACCATAGAAGCGGTCTTTCACATAGAATAATTTAGATTATTTTATGGCATTTTTTGTGTCAAATGATCGTAACCTCAGTCCTTTACACCCTGGGTATTTTGATCGTGCGAACTACGAACGACAGGTCAACAAGCTTTAAGGCACAATATGAATTGAACGGGCTGTACTGTCGCACCGTGGGGTCTAGCGAACACAAGTTGCCTTTGTAAAGACCGGGCTAAGCCAAACAGATGTAAGAACAGTGATGCTGACGCTTGCAGCTGCGTAGCACGTGTTCAATGGTCATTGACAAATTTTGTGGTTTTATGACGCTTGTCAAGCTATAGAATATCCCATTTATTACACTCTACGATTCGGTTATACGGCATGCATTTTAGATCAGTATCCAAAGTTGAATTGCAAACACGTCTAGACTATGCACATCGCGGATACGTCATTACGTATTCTTTACCTTCTTGGAACCTCTTAAACGAACGTGCGAATAGATCACCCCAATAGTTACTTAGGATATGAAACCTTTTCTCTGGAGTTCATAACGTGTTTAAGAAAAGCCGGGGGCTTCTGCTGGTAAACTAAATTGTCAGCAGCGTATGCGGTCTGTCATGGGGGCTTGGCCATCTAAGCATATATTACACCCCAGGCCAATCCTATTTGGTAGTAGAGTACGACACTGTACACCATATGACATATAGGAATTTTGTACAAGGCAATCGTGTGCTACTTTACACATTTCCAATTTGTAGTCATACAGGCCCCGGATAAAATAGTGTGACGCAGAACAATCTTGGCTAAGCTTTGTGGCATGACGTTGATATGACTAGCTACAACTATGGGATTCGTTAGTTGTGCCGCAAACGGCTTACACAAAAGGGCTCTGGACTTGGAGTGTGACCCCGATCAGTGTCGTTTCTGAGTACTAATAAACTCATTCTTAAACGCTCTTGCAGATTCTGAAACCTGGACATCGGCTAGATTTTACCAAAGTAGAAAATTTGGACGGCAAAAACGGTGTCTACAAGACCGACAATTTTTTCTACATTAAAACTTGACCAGGGCCCAAATTAGGTTGGCAATGCAAATCCGCAGTGAGCATATGGGGCTCAACCTGTATTTACCCAGAAAAAAGTTCCCGGAGTATTCATGTTCAGGCTATCCATATGGCTACCGATCACAGAACACCAAGCATATGGTTACATCCTGCCCCTGATGGTCCAATGATTTAGCGCAGATCGGGATAATGGCTCAAGATCAGTCATACGAAGCCGTGATAAATAACCATGGCGACAAAAATAGAGTTACACAGTGAATCCTCAATCATGGTCGTTAAGAGCAATTCCAGATAACTGAAGCGGTCAAAATTCTGACGAGGGAAAGAAACAGGTTAAACGATTCTTGAGGTCGACATAGAGGATATGGTTGGCTTACATGGATGGCACTAAGGAGTACCTGCGCTTCCGAAGAAGAAATGTGGAAACCATAATCAACGAATAGAAAGGTCCGAGGAGGTGTTACCACAAAGGTTCTTCTCCCGTGTAAATATCACACTTTGTAGATACCGGTGTGGGCCCAAAGGGCGATAAATCAGGCTAAATAAATCGAATTCAAATTTACTAAAGACTCTAGGTAACTGATACGGTTTGACCGTCGTTTAAGCTTAGGTGATTACCTAAGCGTATTGTTGAGAATGTTCACGACAAGGCTGCATGGGTAGAGATAGATGAAGCTGAACATGACGGCACTACTAGTCAGGAGGCCGAAGCGTTACTGCAACTAAGTAACACCTGGCAATGAATGGCTAGGTAGCAAGTATTGTGCCTGAAGATAAGTCATCAGTCTGGAGATTAACAAAGGGGACCAATTCTTATAAATACCTGTTAGTCTTAGCCAGAGTTCTCCTTTCTCCTCATATAGTTTAATAAATCGAATACAAAATCACCAAAAACGATGGGTAACAAGGCATGTGGATCGCTGCAGATTTAGAACGATGGCGTGTTTTAGCATCAGATTTTATTTGTGTATCCAGCTATGACACAATATCGAAGAAAAAAAATATAATAGATTGCTCAATTTAAAATAGGGGCACTGATACCTCAGATTTCATTATTGAGTACCGCTGCGATGCTATGGTGGCTTTTTCTTCAGCCCAAGTCAGCCCTCATGAGTAAATACTTTTGGAAATTTTTGGAAAACCCTGAGTTATCCAGACATGCCTCCATCATCCACTGAATTTTCTCCGCACGAAATGTGGTCTGAGGCGTGTCCATTGTTAGTGGAGTAGGCGCCCAGGCCACTAAACTATACCAAAGATCATCACCAGGAGGCGCAGCACGGCACCTTCCATCGCTGGTATATTTTTTATTGTCAGCTGCATTCTCGCCATCACAGTTTTGATGTGCAAAATGCTCTTCAATTTGTGAAAATGCTGGCTAGAATTCGAAACCGCACATCCGTCGAGATCGTATCCATCCTCTGCATCATCTTGTAAACCTAACCTTATCCCTCTCACGTCCATCCCAAAGAACTATCCTAGATTTGTGCGCCACGCTTTGCTTCCTCCGGTGGGCGTAAATATCGGCATGAGCGTGTATTTGATGACGAGCTGAGGCCAGAGAGAGTCGATGAGAGGTATAGTCATTGGAATGAGGATGTACTGAGTCTGACCTGTAGTCTTGATGAGGCCTAGATAGGAGTCGATCTCGTTGGGAGTAGAAATTTGACATGGTGGAGTATTTTGAAATATTGTCTCGTGGGGCAACTTCTTTTGTGTGTTTGTTTATTGTACTACTTGAGTCTATGACTATCTAGCACACTGGGCTCTTCTCTGACCCAGGCCACACCTTGTACAGTGCTCCTTGCCTCTCATATTTCTTGAAAGATCATTGATATATTGCCCGTGATGAATAGCTATTCAGCCCAGTATTTACCCGTGGAATTCGGCTACCTTTTCCTCGGAACCTTTTACCCAAAAAAAAATAAAAAATGGTAGCAATGGAAACTGCGTGCGCGGGAAAAAGTCTCGAAAAACCTGCAGCCCCAGCCAGGCGAGGCCTAGACATCGGGACCACATGAGGTGCGCATATTTGTCTATATCTTCCTTCTTTGTAACAGTCGAGGCCGACTTTATCCAATCTACCATCTACGTATCGGGTGCTGGGTCCGCTCCGGAAACTCATCGGATGGCTTTTCCTCCGTGATAAAGTGTTAGTGATGAGAAGGGCTTCGACCCTACCATCTGATCTGATCGGGGTTAGCTTTATGATGGTGGTGGTATGGGAGTGTGTTGAGAGATGAAGACAATACAGACCGCGAAAGCGATTGGGGATCTTCGTCCAAGTGAGGACTTTGTTATTTAATCTCAGCTCTGCAGACTCTGCAGACTCTACAGTGAGAGCTGGAGGTTCGTAGGGGACACCACTGACAGGTGTTGAGAATAGTCCCCCAGGCCAACTTCTTCAATATTGCGATATTTGACTGAACTTGGGTCTGGGAGAATATTTGACTCCCAGGTTCGTAGAGGACACCGCGTACAAGCGTTCAGTCTTGTCCTCCCCTTGACAGGTGTTTGCTGTGAAAATAAATTTTCAATGATCCTAATTTGGCGGTCTGAGGGCCCATGCAGTTATTTTAGTAAATTATGTATTCTATGTATAATGACTCCTTCCGTGCGCACCCACTATGGGGAAAAGCGTTGAAAACCCCATCGTTATCCGAGAGTAGTTTCGCCACCCTACAAATTAAAAATACCGCTAGGGATTTGGTGCATGAGTCTAATCGGGTCTGAAGTAGCTTCCTCCCACTTCAGATGGGATAGTTGTTCAAGCTACCCGGAATCTACTTGTGAGATGATCTGAAGCTTATACCACTGCACTATCCAGCCCGTACTAGCGGAATGGTAGATAGCCCAACTTGACTATGCCGTCAAGGGTACTAGGGGGTGCCGTAGACTCATCGACAGACTGTTCCCTGTTGTTGTTGTTGTTTTATTAAAGTCCTGAGCTTAAGTAAAAGCTCTACATCCTACTATTGATACAGGGCCGGTGGAGCCGGCAAGGATCACTGTGTACAGGCCCAACTCATTCCAACCGCGTGAACTTCCACATAAATGATAGAAGTTAACAGCAAAACAAAAATTAAAAACTTAAATCAAAGAATAAAACGAATTTAGAAGAATTCCCAATTTTTTTCGGATCCCGCACTTCTTAATCGTTCCCTTTCCTGTCACATCTTCCAAGTAACATTACCTGACTTTCGCTGAGAGCACAAGATGAATTCGAAGGCACCCTATATCCAGCCGGTATCTTGCTCCATACTTTTTGAAGCCTTGACGACTTCACTGAGGCTCGCTGTAACCTTAAACCTCCTCTTCAAATTCCAGAATCCCGAAACTATATCCGTCTGCCATGCAGACATCTTTCTTTGAGCCGTGTATCGCCTCGTAGGCTTTTTCGGCTGCAGATTTGACGAGCAAATTCTGCTCACCTTATTTACTCGACTTTGCGAATTATCGCGAGCTGCTCTTTTTTCACCAGACCAATCTTGATGATTCTGGCCTCGCAGACCCGCGAATCCGAGCGGTAAGGTCCCCCAAAGTTTCGACACCGTGTGGGGGCTTTGCACTCTTTTTCAAAATGCATTTTAGACCCACAGTTACAGCAAGTTGGAGCGCGGGAGCAACCGCGGGAGGCATAGAAGTTAAGATATCGTTTGCACTGTTCTATTTTTCGACGAGGTTGGAAGAGCTTCGCAGCTCCAGAGTTATCGAAGAGGCGGAATCCAGGTCGGGGCGTAGATTCTCAAGGAAAGAAAGCTTGCCATTTCTGGCATGGTGCCCCGGGTTTGCAGCTCCCATGAGTACGAACAAGAAAAATAACAGATTTGGTCACTCCCGTGACTTCGTCGGCGACCATATTTTCCGTGATGAAAACGGAACCTGTAAGTGTACTAATTCTCACCATGACGGTCGCAATTTGTAGGGCAACCAGATTCGACGCTGGTTCCAGATTTATTCCAGATTCCCTCCGTGATGCGGAGAAATCTAGGGGCTCTTTCCGAGCGAGTTCATCCTTTGCTGTTAGTATAAAGCCTGTTTTTACCCGCTGAACCAATGTGATGTTGTTGGCTGCGGTACCGAGCGCCTCTGAGACAGCTGATCTTACGCCAGCTGGTGACAGGAGTCGATGGGGGCAGTTTTTGGCGAGGCGTAAAAACGATCGTGTATCGGCTACTGTCCTCAAATTGGCACTCTTTGCTTTTGGGGTGGGCGGTGCTATCTTTGTCGTTAACGGCCCAGTCCTGTGACTAGACTGTACCTCGTATTAGTTACAAATCAAGTTAAAAGGCTTCAAGCTCTACCTGGCCAGAATGCTAGCTTAGAACTACGAAACATCTTGAGATATCGCTCCTACACAGCTATGGTTATCTTAAGTCTTGAAAATTTTAAATTCACTTTGAACCTCTATCAGGCCGTGGCCATCATTTATTCTGAGAAAATTACCAAATATATCTTTCAGCCAGTAATAAATTTTCACTGGCGGATGGAATTGCCTGACAGCATTAGGTAACGCAGTTATGCCTATCGTTCTTTCGAAGACACTGAGACAGATTCAAAACCACAAGCCTACCTATTATCAAAAGTATTAGGAACTTTAGCGACACTTATAATATATTCTCCACCTGCACATACCACTTATAAGTACAATTACTTGCACAGTACAGATGATCCTCTTACGTGGACCTCCACAAAAACTAAGTTGCTACCCGCAAATAATACTGTGAAGGCTGTATCGTGCTTCATAAGAGCATTGCTCAAAGGGTTAATCGGTTCTCATGGGACTCAAAGAAGCAATCCACTGCCTCGAATGGGATGGCTGCGCGAGCATTCTAGACTCCACTTTGGAGTAAGGTCCGGGTGGAGTACCATTACACCATTCAGCAATTTGGTGGTTTGTTCCCACATGGTCCCACGACAGATTCAAAAATTTGCTGGTAAATTTTGCAATCGTTCTATCAAAGGTTTGAAGGGATAAGTTGTGTTGAAAAATGGCAACTATAGAATCCTCGTGAGATTAACCATGCTAGAACAATGAATTAAGCACTGCTAACACCGACTTACTTTCCCCTCTGTAGGCCTCTTAAATCAAACCTCAAGAGCGTAACACCACCCATAAATTCCTCAACGCATATCTATGCTCTTATCAATTACAAGGACACCTATGTACAGCCATTGCTACTCATCGCGCTCCAAAAATGTTTACCTAAATTTAGCTATACGCTTATCAAGAGCCAGTCAGAATTACCAAGCCAAGCAGTAAATTATCTGCATATTGGCACCTATGAAGACCTACCCTTCGAATATATCATGTCCCATGTGACAACGTCCTTAACGAATGCCTACATCATCCGCAAAGCTCTGATTCGAAAGCACTATCTCAGTACGACTGCACACAATTGGATCACCAAATATCCTACTTCAATTTTGAAAACAAACATTAAAGTCTCATGCGAATTTGAACTTGACTATCCGGAATTTCTTGATGACGCACTAGTAGAGGCATGGGAATTACAACAATCTTTTAAAAATAATATGGGAAAAAATGCAGCTGATAAAGAGTGGTGGATTCTTAAACCTGGTATGAGTGATCGCGGGCATGGCATCCGTCTTTTCTCCACCCAGACAGAGCTTCAGGCTATATTCGAGGAGTGGGAAGCTCTACGATCTGACTCTGAGGATGAGTCAGGGAATGATGAGTTGTGCCTCAACACTTCAAGCAACTTAAATCATGAGGACAGTAATAAACTTATCACTTCTGATTTGCGACATTTTGTAGCTCAGCTTTACATTAGTCATCCGTTTTTGCTGAGAGAAAACCCCAGAAAATTCCACATCAGGACATATGTTCTAGCTACTGGAGGCCTTAAAGTATACGTATACCATGAAATGCTCGCTCTATTTTCACCGTTGCAATACACTCCACCTTGGGATGATTTATCCTCGGGTGATATCTCAGCGCATCTGACCAACACTTGCCTTCAGACTGGTAACCACGATGGGTCCGTTCAGCTTCTAGCCTCCCTCGATCTTCCTGCTGCACTCAAAACCAGTATCTATAACCAAATTGATCATATTAGCGGGGAAATATTCGAAGCGGCAGCGAGAGGTATGCTAGTACATTTTCAAACGCTTCCAAACGTATTCGAGGTTTTTGGCCTTGACTTTCTAGTGGATGAGGCTGGTACGACATGGCTACTCGAGGTTAACGCATTCCCAGACTTTCAACAAACAGGCCACGAGCTACAAGAAGTTGTGAGTGGTCTATGGGAAGCTGTAGTTGCTACTGCTGTAGTTGAATTTTTCGGCATTACTCAAAATTCTTCCTGCAAACTAGCCCGAGAGAAAATGAGACTGGTAAAAGACCTAAAACTACGTGGTTAAGAGATCAATGGTCATTATACGTGTTGATAGGTGCGAGTATAGGAGATAGGGAAACCAATGATCTATGACAAGATGATCGCCACAATCTAGTTTCCTAAAATGTATTTGCATTACATGAATGCACGCTATTTAAGCCAAGTCTCTGCAATGAAATCTTAGGCTAGATGAAGAAATGGTGTTGTAGCACTTATTCTTCAGCTCATGCTCATCAAAAAGGCGGGATAGAATGTTCTCATTGATTTAAGCGTTAGTTTGATTACGTCCAACTCCTGTGCTAAGATAAATCAGGAAAAGCCTCCCAATAGGCTTAGTTCTCTTTTAATACCATTTAAGACGATTCAAAATCCCAGTTTTTAAGCTTCCACTCTAAAGCATACGAATAAAACAAAATACCATATACAGAAAAATAGGTGGCATCCTAATGTAGTCCGAAGATAAAGAAGTTCCTGGCGTAATCTAACAGTCAAGTAACTCTCATTGCAAAGAGTACTAGATGCATCAAACTCCAGGCAAAACTTGATATGACAACAGTTTTATCTTATGTTGCACGATTAAAGAAGTCAATCGAGTATTATGGCAGATCATATACCGGTCATTCTCCCAATTCTTGTGTCCCTGGGCCAATACAGCCACTTGGAGATGGTGTCTCCTACTAAACTAGGGGTGATTCAACTGCTTAAAGTAGAGATTAATTTGATTTGACAGCTTGTTGATTTAAAAGAGTAGCGTCTGCTATAAAGGTTGAACCTTTAATCTACATTAATTTCACCTCCGCAAAATAGTCAGAGAGTTACTACTAGCCACGTGATATTTTCGGGCCGACTTCTTTTGTTGCTAAATAGCATTGGATATATCAAGCGCTCCACCTTCGACAAATTGCACATGGATATGTAACAGCGTGATAGTTCTTAAGGTTGGTAGGTAAGGAAGTAGATGGAAATCGGACATAAATTTGTTGTTAAATATACTCTGTACAATTTAATATGTATACAGGATGATGAGGTAAAGATTGTTGTAAAAATCTGAGTTCATAACTGCACACACCTTCAGGGAATAACTGTGCACCAGCAAAGTTAACCCCTTAGAGTCTGATCACTATTGCCTCCTGGTCGCTACACACTAACATCAACGTGTTCACTACAATGAGGACACCATTGTAGTTACTCTAGCTATCATAGACAATAACATGTAGAGGAATAAGGGTAGGAACTCCTGTATATAGATAGGGCCTTTTTACTCTCAGTATCTACATCAATCATCCACAAATATAATTCACCATCAATCAATCATCTTACTCTGTCCAAGTGATCTATTGAATCCTCCCATACCTATCAGTATTCTATTCACAAGGTGACGTCTCCCTATCCATCGCCCTCAGCCTTTCAATAAAGATGACTTCATATTTTACAACTATTACAATATTGGACTTATATATAAATCTATGGGAAATATCCCCACTTATCTCATGTGCCTGTCAAACCTGGTGATGACCAGCCACCTCTCATCTACCATGATGAGCTAAGGTACACTGTAGTACGTAAATATCCAAACGTATATTCAGCAGTAGGCGCAGTCAGCGCATCCAGGACATATATAGAGATAGTCGATCTTGTCGGGAACCTCAAACGAAATAGTGAACGAGTGAGTCCTAAATTCGAGAGTCAGAATTTCCAACAAAATTCAAGTATTTACAACATAGGAAGCCTCACACTGACCAAGGAAAGGCCACAAAGGCTCCTCTAGAATAAGCGCAAGTAAAAAGGTCGAAGTCTGGAAACCTGCCGCATTGTCTTCTACGAACCTTGGAGTGAAATATTCTACCAGCTTGAAGTATCGTAGTAGCAAAAAGTTGACCCGCGAATAATTAATTCAAGACTTCCTACCACATCAGTACGTCACCTCAAACAAGCTCCATCCCGACTAGCCTTTTCAAATCTTCAATTACGACTTTGTTTATCAGCAAACAGGCGGCACTAAAGAAACAGTGATGGCTGGATAGTGAAGAGATTTATCATCCAGGCCGTTCTCTTACGCGGAGTTTCGACAGTTTGAATATCTATCTCACTTGAGGAGGGGGATTGATCGGTAGGATTTGTTGGAAAATATCAAAAATAAAAAATCATTATCATTAATGATTGTGAAAGCTTGTACGATCCCTTATTACACAAAATCTAGTAGGGGCAAAATTTTTTCAATACACCTGCCAGGTCTTTCCCGACTCCCAACGAGGTTTCTCTATATACTGCCAAGGTTCCCCGTCTTTACTATTATATTCAATGCGAGCTAGACTACTGCCTAAACTTGTACAGATTCGTTATAATGATCGTCCTTTCATCATAATTGCAGAAAGAGATGAATTTCGTGAACTTTTAGCATACGCTTAAAAATCTCATCACAAAGCCAGGCTTGGAAATAATAGCCCACTTCCTATAAGTTTGCAGCTTACGAAAATTAGATTCTCTCATTATCTTGAGCAAAACAATGCTCTTAAGGAGGACTAGTCTCAACACCTGTCAGTGGTGTCCCCTACGAACCTCCAGCTCTCACTTTAGAGTCTGCAGAGTCTGCAGAGCTGAGATTAAATAACAAAGTCCTCACTTGGACGAAGATCCCCAATCGCTTTCGCGGTCTGTATTGTCTTCATCTCTCAACACACTCCCATACCACCACCATCATAAAGCTAACCCCGATCAGATCAGATGGTAGGGTCGAAGCCCTTCTCATCACTAACACTTTATCACGGAGGAAAAGCCATCCGATGAGTTTCCGGAGCGGACCCAGCACCCGATACGTAGATGGTAGATTGGATCAAGTCGGCCTCGACTGTTACAAAGAAGGGAGATATAGACGAATATGCGCACCTCATGTGGTCCCGATGTCTAGGCCTCGCCTGGCTGGGGCTGCAGGTTTTTCGAGACTTTTTCCCGCGCACGCAGTTTCCATTGCTACCATTTTTTATTTTTTTTTGGGTAAAAGGTTCCGAGGAAAAGGTAGCCGAATTCCACGGGTAAATACTGGGCTGAATAGCTATTCATCACGGGCAATATATCAATGATCTTTCAAGAAATATGAGAGGCAAGGAGCACTGTACAAGTTGTGGCCTGGGTCAGAGAAGAGCCCAGTGTGCTAGATAGTCATAGACTCAAGTAGTACAATAAAAAAACACTCACCCACAATTTTTTGAAATTCGAATTTTCGAATTTTCGAATCTTCCCATTTTCCCCCTCTCTCTCCCTCTCGCGCTCGTCGCGTTCTATCAAATAATTGTGATCGACTCACTGGCATTTTCATCATGCCACCTGTCTGAAAAAAGCTCCCCAACGCAATGTTGGACAACGCGAGAGTCCGCCTGAGGGCTTCCGCATAAACACCTGGCCTCGCGCAAAAACATTCAAGCATGTTTGCGAGTGAGGCCTTCGTCGAAGAGAAGTTTCCAAACCTTCCCGACAAAGCGATGACTTGTTCTGAGCCCGTCAGGTCAGCAGAAATTGGTCCCGAGGCCAAAATTCCCATCGAACTTGTCCCAGAAGCAAGCACCTCAAGGAAAGGAAGTCGTCCGAGAGAAGACGACAGGACACGCAGAAACGTCTGTAAGAGAATTCGCTGTGCCAACTTCCAAAGGCATAGCTTCAACATCAGCACCGGAATATCCTACGGAGCTGCAATTAGTGATGGAGGCCGAAAAGCGTCGCACGACGCAAATAAAAGCCCGTCTAGCAATCTGTTCCACTGCAATAAGTGTTGGAAATTCTGACCCTCGAATTTAGGACTCAACCACTACCTGTTTCGTCTCAGGTTCCTGACAAGATCGACTCTCTCTACACATGTCCCGAGTACGCTAATCGCGCCTACTGTCGCCTATACGTTTGGATGTTTACGTACTGTAGTGTATCTTGGCTCATCATGGTAGATGAGAGGTGGCTGATCATTACTAGGTTTGACAGGCACATGAGACTAGTGGGAATTTCTCCCTTAGATGTATATATAAGTCCAATGTTGTGTGTGTGTTTATTGTGCTACTTGAGTCTATGACTATCTAGCACATTGGGCTCCTCTCTGACTCAGGCCACACCTTGTACAGTGCTCCTATCCTCTTTTGTTACTTGAAAGATCATTGATATATTCCCCTTGATGAATAGCCATTCAGCTCAGTATTTACCCGTGGAATTCAGCCACCTTTTCCACGGAACCTTCTACCCAAAAAAAAAATGGTAGCAATGGAAACTGCGTGCGCGGGAAAAAGTCTCGAAAAACCTGCAGCCCCAGCCAGGCGAGGCCTAGACATCGGGACCACATGAGGTGCGCATATTCGTCTATATCTCCCTTCTTTGTAACAGTCGAGGCCGACTTGATCCAATCTACCATCTCCGTATCGGGTGCTGGGTACGCTCCGGAAACTCATCGGATGGCTTTTCCTCCGTGATCAAGGTTTGGTGATGAGTAGAGCTCCGACCCTACCATCTGATCTGATCGGGGTTAGCTTTATGATAATGGTGATAGGGGAATGTGTTGAGAGATGAAGACGATACAGACCGCGAAAGCGATTGGGAATCCTCTTCGAAGTGAGGACTTTGTTACTCAATCTCGGCTCTGCAGACTCTACAGTGAGAGCTGGAGGTTCGTAGGGGACACCGCTGACAGGTGTTGAGAATAGTCCCCCTAAGTCCAATGTTCACATAGTTGTAAAATATCAAGTCTTCTTTACTTCATCATATTTATCCGTATAATATCGTACAGAGTATATTTCCCAACAATAAGCAGTGTCGAAGCAGCACTCTCGCCTCTCTCGATTGGTGAAGAAAAAGATATTTGTAGACAGCATTAAAGTCTACCTTCGAGCGGCCATCAGCTAGTTCATACAATCAGGCCCAGAGAGCACTCCACCAGCTCTCCATGTGCGCCCCAGCAACCCTCTTCCGCGGAGGGCTCATCAAATAAGGGTACCGAACCCTACTAAAACCCAGGCTCCGGCCCAAAAGACAACTTGGGCGAATGTAGCC